GAACTCTTTAAGTGGAAAATTCAGGTACAAAAGCTTGGTACTACGTATTAATAAAGATGGTACTATTCTCTTATTAAAGTGGTACGATTCCAAAATAAACTGGTACTAATTTTCTGGACTTGAATAAAGATAAGGGTATTGTGGGAATACTAAGAGGGTTATTATTTTATTGCAAGTGGGAGGGAGTAAAGTGGAAGAAAATTAGAAGAAGGGACTGAACTGGAAGTTGAAAAGGGGTCTAGGTACTTTTATAGAATTCGCCCATATTTATATCTAATGTAGTTATATCTTGTAAGTTAAAAAATTATTATAATATAATACAGCTAAGTCGCAAAAAAGAAAAAGTGTCATACTAAATATATAATAATATATATTCTTATAAAAACTATGTAAATTTTCAACTACTTTTTTCTCATCAATTTTAGATTTTAAGAAAAAAAATAGCAAGCACCCGTGTAATACACGGGCGTTGTAATAATAACATTTCATTTGGACATTAATACTGCAGCAGCTAGCTATTGCTTTCTCATCAACCAAATGGCCCATGTTGTATATATAGTAAAGAAAAGTATACATCAAAATCAACAAGTTTCATAGTAGGTATATTGGTGTATAAGAAATCACCCAAAAATCAAACAAAAAAAAAGGTCTAGTCTATAAAACAATGTTTCACAATGCAATTGAAAAAAAGAGACTAAGTCCCACACTTGGGTCTACTTTGGAACCAAGTGCAAACCTACATAGTCATTAATTGTTCGCAATTTTCTTTTTCTTTTTAATAGGCAAAACACATTTTTTTTGTATGCATTTATTATTACCATATTTTTATTGGTTGTTTAGTATTTTAGACCCAGTATTTTTTTTTGTTTTGCATTGGATAGATTTTGGATGTTTTAGCTTGAGTTTGTCCATGTCTTAAGTCTATTTATTTGCCACATATACAAAAAGAGACTCAAAGCATTGTGGGTGCTCTTAACATATTGACACCTGTCCCAAGTTTATTTATTGTAGGACACGTGTCAATGTACTATAACTGTAGCGATGACTCCATAGCAAAATTGTAGAATGCTAATATATAGTGACGTCAAGTATTGCGTTTTGTGCCTTTTTTTTTTTTTTCTTCTTTTTAATTATATGCATTTAATTAATTTTCGATCACAGGTGCTAACAAAATGATTTAGAATCATTGACTTCCAACACAAAAGTTTCTACGAATTTAGCAACATGACATCATATACGAAATAACGTACGAAAACATACTCATAATTTTATAAATAATGTATTCCATTAAATAGAAAAAAGTTGCAGCTACTTTAAGACTAACAATTAATACTACTTGCTACTATTAGTTCTTGAACAAATAGCTTCTTTTATTTGATTAATAATTATTTGAAATAAATTATTTGACACTGTAATGCAAATTAATTAATTCACGGTCTATAAATATGAAAATTAATATTATTTAAACCTAAACCCAAAGTATACTTTATTTGAGGTTTTAAAAAAGTTACAATTTTAATAAATTTTTAAATAATTAGTTTCATTTATATATATATTCACATATAAAAATGAATAAATGATTAATATATAATTGGTAGCAAAATCAGCCACTTAGGGTTTTAAATTCTCATATTAATGATTTAATGTACATAAAATATAATACTTAGAAAATAGAACTGAACAAAAACCGTAGTAATTATTGATATATTATGAGAAAAGAAGAATTATAAGTATATTCAAATTAGAAATTCAAGATTTTTTAATTAGAAGGAACATGACATGAATTTTGTGGTGATCGTGAATTTTCTAATTTAGAAAGTCTAGTCCACAAAATTACTCCAATTTGAATCCAAAGGTTATTGTTAATTTAATTTGAACATTTAATTGCCTATAAAAAAAAAAAATAAAAAATAAATATATGTATAGTTTAAGGACAAAAATGGGATTTCCTGTTTCTTGGAGACTTAAAATTTATAGTGTAACTTTATATATATGATGAGCATCTTGAATTTGACCCCCCGTGATTTAAGCTTCCATGGAAGTAAGGATTTTATTTTTATCTTATAAATAATTAACATATGTGTTTCGAGTCTTTAATTTTTGCTCTGTGATTTAATTCTTGCATACAAGTCATTTTTATTTATTATAAAGAAAAGGCGATTAATTTATGGTGGACGTTAATTCTATTTATTTTTATTTTTTTAAACAAAAACTTTAGACTCAAATTCTATGTG